CCCAGGTCTCCCACATTGCAGGCAGATTCTTTACTACTGAGCCACGGGGGAAGCCCTGGTTGTGATTAAATTCATCAGGGGGTCAAAGTATGACATTTAAATACAAGTTCTTATCTGATTTGTAGGACTCTTCCCATCCCACTCAAAACACCAGGGCTGAGCCACACCTTTCATGGAAGTTAGGTTTGGGTTTTGTTTTTTAACTCACCTTCCAGATCCAAGTCAGTTTAAGGCAACACATAAATGGTTCAATTGAATTGTTGAGACTGCCACCAAATCATTTTCTCTACTTAAGCCACCAGGGAACAATCAAAGAAAGGGAGATGATGGTACTGGTTGCAATGTGGTTTCAAAATATGGGCTCAAAGTCTTTGATGCTTCCTTCCTTCAAAAGGCAAACATGATTCCTTTCCTCTTGGGTGTAGGTCAAACTAAGGGACTCACTTCTAATGAAGAAATTTCCCTCTAAGCTCCATTTTCACTGCATCTCACAAATTTAAATAAGTTGTGTTACTATTTAGTTCCAAATGCTTTTAAATTTATCTTGAGATTTCTTCTCTGACCCATATATTACATAGAAGTGTTGGTTAATCTCCAAATACTGGGGAATTTTCCAGCTATCTTTCTGCTACTGAATTCTAGTTTAATTCTATTGAGGTCTGAAGACATATGTTGTATGATTTCTATTCTCTCATGTTTGCTAAGGTGTGTTTGATAGCCCAGAATGCAGCCTATCTTTCCTAACGTTTCATGTAAGTTTGAGAAGCACATGTATTCTCCTGTTGTTCAGTTCAGTTCAGTCACTCAGTCATGTCTGACTCTTTGTGACCCCATGGATTGCAGCACATCAGGCCTCCCTGTTCATCATCAACTCCCAGAGTTTACTCAAACTCATGTCCATTGAGTTAGTAATGCCATCCAACCATCTCTTCCTCTGTCATCCCCTTCTCCAGCCTTCAATCTTTCCAGCATCAGGGTATTTTCCAATATGATTTTGCCATACATTCTTATTAAAAATTCATAGCCCAGAGGAATGTTGTATACTCTCTAGATAGCCTGCAATTTTCCAAAACTTTGAGTATTTGCTGAGCCTTACTGTTTTTGTGGATAATGCGGCATTTAGACCTATAATTCCCATCACTATCGTTATTAACACATACATAAATAAAATTCGTCAGATGTGTTAAAGCAAATGCAATAAATAGCCTATCTGTTCTTTATCTTCACATTAATTAGACCATTAGCCAAAATTGTGAGCCCTGATACCCTTACATTTTCTTGATGTCCTTCAGTTTTTGCTTTCCTTCTCTTGACTTTGCCCTTGTGGCCTGTGTTATTTCTTGGCTTATTCCTTCAGTGAGAAATATCTAAATTCTGAGTGTCTATTCCTCATTCTGTGATCCAATACACCCTATATTTATTTTGAAAGCATATATTAAACAACACAACACCTTAGCACTATCTGTCAAACAGCTCTGGATTATCTGCAGTAACTACTCCTAGAAGTTGTTCTGTCCAGTCAAATTGCCTGCTGCCCTGAAATTAACTGTGGCTTACTCAGAGGAAGATATTAAATCTTACTTACAAGTCGTGCTTAGAGCAGAATTTTTTATTATTGTCTCTCCTACCTCTTTTCCCCACTTTCACGTTTCTGCCATCACAATTTTNTTCTTTTTTTTCTTTTTCTTTCTTTTTTTTTTTTTCATTTACTTTTATTAGTTGGAGGCTAATTACTTTACAATATTGTAGTGGTTTTTGCCATACATTGACATGAATCAGCCATGGATTTACATGTGTTCCCCATCCCAATCCCCTGTCCCGCCTCCCTCCCCACCATGTCCATTTCTAACTGTTGCTTCCTGACCTGCATACAGGCTTCTCAAGAGGCAGGTCAGGTGGTCTGGTTTTCTGATCTCTTTCAGAATTTTCCACAGTTTATTGTGATCCACATAGTCAAAGGCTTTGGCATAGTCAATAAAGCAGAAATAGATGTTTTTCTGGAACTCTCTTGCTTTTTCAATGATCCAGTGGATGCTGGCAATTTGATCTCTGGTTCCTCTGCCTTTTCCAAAACCAGCTTGAATGCAGTATTTTATAATTGTCAATTAGATCAGGTTGATTGATACTACTATTCAGGTCAATTTTGTCCTAGCTGATCTATTAATTGTTAAAGAGGGATGTTAAAATCTCCAAGTGTAATTGTGGATTTGTCTATTTCTCTTTGCAATTATGTTTTGCCTCATTTATCTTCATGCTCTGTTCTTACATACATTCAAGTACATACATACCTGTTTAGTATTATGTCTTCTTGGAACACTGATCCCCTTCAACATTATGCAATATTCCTCTTAATTCCTGAACATTTTTCTTGTTCTGAGGTTTCCTTCGTCTGAAACTAATTCAGCTGCTCTAGATTTCTTTTGAATTGTGATGTATCTTTTTCCATCCCTTTACTTTCACACTATCTTAAGTTTTATATTTGCAGTAAGTTTCTTATAGACAACAGACTGTTGGATCTTTGTTTTGTTTTTTTCATCCTCTCTGAGAAGCTCTGTTTTTTAATTGCTTCATTTAGACCATTCACATATAAAATGATTATTAATATCATGGGGTTAATATCTTCCATGTTTGCAACTGTTTTCTATTCATTCCTCATATTCTTTCTTTTTGCCCCCTTTTCCTGCCTTTTCTGTTTCTAATGGAGCAGTTTATATCATTCCATTTATCTCCTCTCTTAGCATATTAATCATGCTACTCTTTTAAATTTGTTAATGGTCGCCCTAGAGAGTTTGCAGGACTTCCCCAGTGGCTCAGCTGTAAAGAACCCACCTCCAAGGCAGGCGGCACAGGAGGCAGAGCTTTGATCCCTGGGTTGGGAAGATCCCATGAAGGAGCGCATGGCAACTCACTGCTGTATTCTTGCCTGGAGAATCCCACGGACAGAGGAGCCGGGCGGGCTACAGTCCATGGGATTGCAAAGAGTCCCACACGACTGAGCGACTAACAAAACAACATTCTTTACCTTCAAGCTCCCAGTCCAATTGACTTTCCTTTATGTGGCAGGTCAGCCTGAGTTGGCAGAGGGTTCTGCCTGGAGCTAAGCCGCTAGACTTTAAGACCACAGATTTCCCAGACGGAAAATCACGTTTGCCCCTGTCATGTCACGGGACTGTGTTGTGACAAATGCGGGCGTGTCACTGGTTCATCTTACCTCTTCCAGTTCTGCACATGTGCCATAATATACTCAGAGTTGGGAATGGGAATATCCATAACGCAAAAGGTGTATTATCAAATCATGTCGATGAAGTAATCATCCTATGCGCGCTCATGCGCGCACACACCCCCGCCCCCGCCCCACTCCCCACGAAGTGCTACAAAATATAGATTTTGCAAAGCAGTGGCCATATCTCCTTCACATTGCCTGAAATTTCTATCTAGAAATCTTTACTCATACTACTTTGGAACATTTTTATGGGATTGTGGATCTTTCAAATTTAAGCATTAAATTGAAATTAAACGAATTAAAAAAACAAGAACCACCAAGGCTCTCCCGCGTGGGTCCTTTCGCTTCCTGTCCAACCTCTGTGCCCCCATGGACTATAGCCCACCATGCTCCTCTGTCCATGGGTTTCTCCAGGCAAGAATACTGGAGTGGCTAGCCATGCCCGTCTTCAGAGGATCTTCCTGACCCTAGGATCGAACCCATCTTTTCTGTATTGCAAGTGGATTCTTTACCCACTGAGCCACCTGGGAAGCCCAAGGCCTTATGATTTTAAGTAAAAACTAAAACAAGGAAGGAATTCAACATAAATACATACTGAACTATTACTATGTTTGAAGCCTCGTGCTAAATAGTCTATAAAGCAAATTCCATAAAGGAGAAACACAAGGAAAGGCCTTTTACAGTAATATGCTGCTAAGTCGCTTCAGTCGTGTCCGATTCTGTGTGACCCCACCAGGCTCTGCTGTCCCTGGCATTCTCCAGGCAAGAACACTGGAGTGGATTGCCATTTTCTTCTCCATTACAGTAAGATAACATCCAACAAAAATTCTGTAGTTACTCCTTTCTAACCGAAGAACAATCAACAGGCACTAAGATTTTGCAAAAGATGCACTCAGATTTCTCAACCTGGGTCAACCTCAAGGTTGTTAAGGATTACTCATTATTTAAAAATATGGAATTTTGTCCCATTGTTAGAGACCGTGTTCACTTTTAGCTTCAAAGATAGTCACCTTGCTGTTGACCCAGGACATCCATCCCCTCTACCCCACTGACAAGTCATCTGTCAACAGAGATCCATGCTTTTCGCCCTAAAATGGGCATAACCAAAAGAGAAGGGAAATCACGTGCCAAGGCACAGAAATCTTAAATTCTTGTGTGCTTTGGCACATGGTCTTTAATCCGGTTTTCCCAAGGCTGCACTAGCTAGGCTCTTCAAGGTCTCCTGCATCTGCAGATTACTACTGCGATTAAAACGTATCTGTTCTTAGAAGGAATTCACATAAAGCTCCTGCCTCTATGGGAAATTAGCTAGCTGAGGGTTTAGGCTAACCACAGGGTAGGAGTGAATCTGGTCTCTCTTTGAAAAACCTTCCGGGGGCTAGCATCCCCCGCCAGCAACAGAGCTCTCCTAGGCACCACGTGTCTGCACCAACAGCGGGATTGGCCGAGCGCATTTTAGCTCTGCGGTCTAGACGCGCACGGTCCCGCCCAGCTGCCAGAGGAGCCCGGAGGCCGGGAGAAGTGGCTGGAGGGAGATCGCGGAGGGGAGGGGGCGG